TATATAAGCTGATGTATCATTGTTTATAATCTGCCTTTCCTCTAGTTCATTTGCATGTATCTGTACACGTGTATTTTTCCCTTTCCTTTATTTTAAATCTATTTTCTTGTGCATGAATGCACATTTTATATATCTCACATATTGCAATGAGTATATGTTAATAAAACAAATCTTCACCAAAACTAAGATTGTTCTAATTGTGCAAATGTGACACTTGAAAACTGCCTAGTGTCTTTATAACATCTTCCCGCCTTTCTAAAATCAGTTATTTGTGGTATTGCTAAACTGAAGCACATCGTGCAGACATGTATACAAAACGGACACCTGTTTCTGTGGACATTCTTGTTCTGGTGCTCCTCTTCTCAAATATCATTGCAATCGACTTTCCTTGCAGCAGAGGAAGATACTGAAATAGAAATGATAATTCGCTACATTTAAATGGTTCACCCTGAGGACATTTAACATATGGACACTACAGCAGACATTAGTAACTTTAGCTACCTGTTTTTCGTGCTTGATCCGATGTTTCAGATCCCCTGACACCCACAACAGCCTCTTGATTTCATCTGAGCTGAAGTCTTTCAGAGAGAGACAGCTGCGACCCTTTAAATTAACTGAACCGAGGGAAGCAGCTCCACTGCTGAGAAAGCAACACACGAGAACACAATGCATGTAACTTAGTATTACCTGTACTAACGATACTTAATAATAAAGTTATCTGCAGCTTCTTACCTAAACCCTCGTGCCGAAAGAGTTTTCAAGCATTTGAAGACGGTGTTGTTCACAGATAGTAGTTTCGCAGACATTGTAGCTGAAGTAAACTACAATGGAAGACAAATGTTTTGGGAATATATTTCATCAGCGTAGACGTTCATTCGCTGTCTGTCCGAGCTGACGCGCAGCCAGCAGCGTGGCTGCTCTGACGTCACTGCAGAACCAGGAAGTGAGGCGTGGCTTCCTCCCAGTCTATCGAGAGTTTACTGTCTGTTGTCGGACAGGTGGACTGGGATAACTAACGCTCTTTGGTTATTAATGTTGTGACACGTGGGCTATTCAATTGGGATTTTGAGTATATTTCATATGCAAAAGAAAAACAATTGCAGCTAGTTTTCAAAGCAAGAACTTCCTGCGTTACAACACTCCCTGCTGCTCCACTACTGATGGGCAGAGCTGCTGTGGAAACGTTGGTTTAGCCCCCCGGACAAACATTTTATCACATATGTTAGTATGAAGGCTAATCATTGTCCAAATCCGCGAGCGCAAATGAGATCCACGTGCGGGGCCTCTACACACGCGCGCATGGATCTCATTTTTGCTCGCGGATTTTGACATTTAATTGCCTTCATACCTGTGAGATCTCGAAAATGCATTTGTAAATATACAGCCTGCTAGTAAAAACAAACTAACAAACAAAAACACGTTTCGTCTGTCCCCCAAGGGAACCGAATCACAGAGTAACAATATATCTAAATATAGAATACTTGTTACTTGTCATAGATGTGTTTGATACATTTTAACATGTGGATAACTTAAAACCATAATTTGTCCATTTGTTTTCATTTTAGTCTGTTTTGTCATGGCGTTGAATTAATTAATATGCTGCTTTGATCACTAAGCTACTTTAAATATTAATATTCCTCACCTATGACTAACTTTATTTCCATGGTTGGCTCAGGGACAGCAGCTAGCTGGCTATCACCTGTCCCTCTTTTAAGTCATCGTGATCTTCCCGTCATTCAGCACCGTGACTGACATACGGTGCAGGTGAGGAGGTGTGAGAAGGAGAGCAGTGGAGATGACGGGACAGGACGATGTGGACATACCCGGTGAGAGCACTTCATATAATTAACCAGGATATATAACACTTATCTTGATGAATGGTATACTTACCTGTCCGTTGGACAAACGGTGTCCACATATCCTCTGTGTGTGTGTGGTTGACCTGTTGCTATTTCTGTCAGGCTGCTACTTAAATGGCTTGAGATGTCAGGTTGGGATTTAGCTGGTGTTAACTTACAGAAGAGTGCTGCCTTTGAGTCCTGCACAGTGTTAAATATACCTTTCCCAAAGGCTGTTAACAGAGATGAATCATACATTTGTCCTCAGAAACAGGAGCCATCTTCACATTTGGAAAGAGCAGTTTTGCTGACGATGTGCCTGGTAAATTCTGGTTGAAGAATGACCAGCCAGTGCATCTATCTTGCGGAGGAGGGCACACTGCTGTCATTACAGGTGCAGACAAACTATGCACAGTTTATTAGTGAATTATTGCTGTGTTCAACATTAAATATTTGTGTAATTAAATGATTCATATGTCAGCAGAAAATGGCAGGCTGCTCATGTTTGGTGGTAATTCTTGGGGCCAACTGGGGCATGGATTTAAGCCTGCTGCCAGCAAACCTGCCTCTGTGAAAGGTGAGTTATTTTCCACCAAAAATATAAACAATGATTAATTTCATTATTGATTAATATTATTAATTATTTCTCGATTAATCCTTTTATCACCTGGTCTAGTCAAGCTAACATCGTCAAATCACTTGTTTTGTACTGGGGTGGAAAGTAACTACATTTACACAAGTACTATCCTCAAGTATCATACTCGAGTCTTTTACATTTTCTTATATATGTACTTCTACTCCACTAGAAAAGAGGCAAATATTGTACTTTTTACTACACTACTACTACACTATGTATATCTAATAACCTTATTTGCTTTGCAGATTCAGATGAATGATTCAACATATAATATAACTTATGTTCTATTGTTATAGGTTGAGATAACACTTTTACAAGCTGTATATAAAATCATTGTATTTTCCTTTCAGCCTTAAAGTCTGAGAAGGTGAAGCTTGTAGCTTGTGGGAGGTATCACACAATTGTCTGCACATGTAAGATGATTAACAAATAACATCAGAATTTCATATGACATTCCTTAAATACAGAACAGAAGGGCCCAGAATTGGTTGTATTAAAGTCCGGTTTTGTATATTTTCAGGGCGGGGTAGTGTGTTTGTTTCTGGCATTAACCTGGAGGGCCAGCTCGGTTTGGGCCACTGCAACAACACCACATCCTTTCGCCTGCTGCATCCCTTCTGTGACCATGCACCAATCAAAATGCTTTCTGCAGGATGCAACACCTCAGCTGCCTTAACAGGTCCGAACAGTGACAAGTAATAATGTAACAAGTGTCTCCATCAGATCAACATGCTCTGGCCAAAGTCCAAACTGTTTGTATGTGTGATGTTAGATGTTCTACTCTGTCTGTGCGTGTGTGTGTGCGTGTGTTGTTAGAGGACGGGAGGCTCTTCATGTGGGGAGACAACGCCGTGGGTCAGATCGGTTTAGGGGATGAGTGCTTTGCAGCAGAACCCACAGAGGTGGATGTTGGGGAGGCGGTGATGTGGGTCTCCTGTGGGTACCACCACTCAGCATTTGTCACAGGTACAACACAGTCCAACCAAACACAGCACGAGAGACAGTTTGAGCGTTCATTTAACCAGCCTTCACACTCCAGTGTTGTGTCGGCTTTGCTCTAGCGGATGGAGATCTCTACACCTTTGGCGACAGTGCGAATGGAAGGCTTGGTCTCCAGGTGGAGCAGCTGGCCAATCACAGAGTCCCTCAGCGGGTGCAAGGGTTTCTGGGTCATGTCAGTCAGGTGTGCTGCGGAGGGGAGCACACGGTGGCGCTCACAGGTAGGTTTAGTACAGACACTTTTCTGCTGACATCTTTTTTTTTGTTTTATCATTTATATTTGACGTATATCAGGAATACAGTCTGTTAGTGGTGGAAGAAGTATTCAGGTCCTTTACTTTAGTAAAAGTGTCAATACCATCGTGTGGAAAACGCTCTATCACAAGTAAAAGTCCTGCATTTATAGTTTTACTTAAAAGTACAGTTTCAGCAAAATGTAATTAAAGTTTCACTCCAAGTACTCATTATGCAGACAGGCCTTTTTAGTGAATTTTTATCACCACACATGTAAGCAGATTGGTATAGATAGATGGATTTATTTATTTTGCACATTTCACAAATAATAAGAAAACTAAATATATAGAATACATTCTAAATGAGTAAATAATATTTATCTGAAAATGAGTAGGCAGACGTAAACACTTACCCCTTTCTATAACTTAAATAATTAACATATACACATAAATAATCATCTTAATATGAAAAAAAGCACAACATCAACAACATGCGTCTGCCCCTTCCTCATCCTTGTACAGAACCCCTCAAAGCAGCATTTTAATATTTAATGCTTTCAACAGAAATCAACTTCAAGAATATTTTAGAGAAGAGTGTGAAAATCTTGAAAGAAGACAGAATAAGGAATTTGCTATAGAATTTAAGAGAAATGTCACACGATTGAAGAAAATGCATCAATTTGACTTCTATCAAAACAGGCTCAATAATAGACACAAATCACTTGGAAGATGAAGATGTTTGCAAATTTTGTACAATGCAAACTACAAAGTAGCCCGAGCAATCAAATGTAGTGCAGTAAAAAGTACAGTATTTCTCTCTGAAATGTAAGTGAAAATATTCAGTAAATGTACTTTCTTTCCACCACTGCTGTTCGTCAAAGCAGTCTGTTCCATTGTGTCTGTTTTGCCGTGCCAGAGGAGAATGTGTACACGTTCGGCAGAGGTCAGTACGGTCAGCTGGGCCACGGGACGTTTCTGTTTGAAGCTGATTTGCCAAAACCACTGGAGCACTTTTGTAACAGCAGCATCAAACATGTCGCCTGTGGAGAGAACCACACCGCTGTGATCACAAGTAAGTAATCTCTGAAGCTCATTCTAGTCATTATGATGGTGTTTAAAGATAGTGCTGCCTGTTTACCTTTGTGTATTTTCCTGATCATCTGAATTAAATGTGAAGCGATTGAACACAAGCTTCAAACTTGATGTAAAGCGTTTGTCCTCCACAGACAGCGGGCTCCTGTACACGTTTGGTGATGGTCGGCATGGGAAACTGGGTTTAGGGGTGGAGAACTTCATCAACCAGTTCAGCCCGACACTCTGCGCACGTTTTCTCAAGCACAGAGTTCAGTTAGTAAGTGAATGTGATGAAACGGCTCTGGTGGTCGTGTCATCCTCAGCTCCACCTGTGTGTTTGTCTAATGTCCTTTAGCAAAACACTAAACCCACAGAGTCTGACTGTAGTCCACCTCCCAAGTGGTTTATCCTGTGTGTAAGAGGATCCTCTGTAATAAACTACATTAAGTCCTTGTGTTTTCTTACGTTTAGGTGTCCTGCGGTGGTAACCACATGCTGGTACTGGCTGCACCCAGACCAGAAGAGGATGTCACAGAGAACTTTTTAGAGCCAAGTTACACAGAAATGCTTCTGCTGGACACTTTGATTGATCCTAATCCAACAGTCCCACTCTCGGCCCTCTTTGCTCGAGCCCGCCACAGAGAAAAAGTGAGAACCTACACCGTGGTACTTATTTTCAGTTGGTTGCAATCTGCAACTTCACCGTTAGATGGCAATAAATCCTACACACTGGTCATTTACTACTGATTGTTTTCCTAATCCATTCATCTGCTGATTATTTTATCCATTGATCGATTTATTGTTTGGTCCACCAAAAAAAAAACGACAATAGTACAAAATGCAAATCACATAATCAAGGCGACGTCTGTAAATGTCTTGGTTTGTTCAACCAACAGTCCAAAATATACAATTTGTTATATTTTAAGACCACCCAAGCAGCATATTCTCACATTTGTAAATATCAAAACATTACTGAAATAATCAATTAATCAAAATAGTTGCCAAATTAATTTTCTTTTGATCGCCCAATCAATTAATTGACTAATCATTGCAGCTCTAAAATATACTTAAATGAATTCATCTTTTTTTAATTATCATTTAATCTATATATTTATTTTATGCTGCATATCTCGGTTCTGGTCACATTTATTTCACTAGTTATATATTTGGAAATATTTTTTACATACTGCTGGGAATTGATTCTAGGCCCAATAGTTCCTACTGGTTAGCCATCATACTTTCATACTTTGACCAGTATGATTGTGAACAAGTATTAAATTGCATTGTATGTGGTATTAGAAAGTATTTAATTTAACTCTGTGAACCCTGCAGAAAGTTTGTTGTCTCAGCTTTAGATAATTGTAATCACAGTTTAACTCCAGTAGGAGACAGTATTACACCAAGTTGTAGCTCTGCTGCAGTGCCGCAGACTAACATGTTGGAGGAACTCCATCGATCAAACCTTTTACTCACTTTTTTTTGTTGTTGCTGTTTTTCCTCTCTTTTCTTCCAGGGAAACTCTGCGGAGCAGTTTGGAGAGATGTTTCACAACCTCCCACGTCTAAATTCTGACTTCTTCAACACCTCCTGGCAAACGTCCAGAAATATCCCAACCCCTAAAACACTCTCAAAGGACTTTGCCACCCCTTCATCATCCCCGAAACCACAGTCAGAAGCAAGGCTAAACCCAGCACTCTCCCCCAGATCTCCAGTGTTATCCTCTAAGCCATCGAGCCCACATTCTCAATCATCAAACACCTTTCAGAATAAATCCTCTACTGCTGCTTCCTCTGAGTCTAAATCTAAAGAGCTGCCTTCTCCCTTACCGTCACCAAAGACTATAACTAAACATAGCACCCTTGTATCTCATAAAAGGACTGCAAAAAGAAGACTGTATGGAGTGGCAACTGCCAAAAAGGCCTTAATTGGTGAATCTCCTCTACCACCTAAAGAGCCCTGCAGCCCCACCAGACCCTCCAGTGAGATTTCCAACAAACCTCTCAGTGAGGAGGAGCATGCTGCTTCGCCTAAAACAGGTATTTTCAACCTCTAATTTGATGAGCTGAGTTTTTATCTTGTGTTAGATACTCTTGTGTGCAGCTGTTTCAATAACCCAATCACTGTCGGTTTTTGCAGAGGGAGAAACTTCTCAGAGACAAATTGCAGCGGAAGAGAATATCTCTGAGAAAGGAGTCAACTCTGACTTTTTGCCACACATGGTGAGAGAAGTTTGGTTTCACATTAATGTCTTAGTAGAGTAATAGAATATATTGTCTGCAAAGTCATAAACGCAGAGTCAGTTGAATGTTGTTTGGTGTCAGTTGAATGTTATTTTCCTCTTTAGGCTTCTTGGTTGTGGTCTACATTATGTGCACTGCAGGGCAGGAAGCAGCAATGTTGAACACTCACTGACTTTTCCAGGAAATGTGCATAGGTCAGCATACATACTGTGTGTGTGTGTCTGTGGAGACATTTTCCATTTGGTGAAACATTGAAGTGAAATATGAAATTGAATTCAATGTTATGGTTTCTTAATTTCCCCCTTTCATTTGCTTTTATCCCAAGAATGTGTGTGATGAACCCCCCTCAAAGTTGATTCAGAGATTAGGATTGCCTCTGCCGATACACAAATGTGTTTGAGCTCCAGCCTCAGATACACACACACACACACACACACACAAACACACATTAAACGCTTTTGGAAAGTTTCCAGGAATCTTGCCACATCTCATCAGTGTTTCCAGAGATGGAGCAAGCTGTGAAAAAGTCTCCTGCGTTGTTGTGTGTCATAGTGCAACATGTGGTGTTCAGTAACCCATTCCTGCCTTAGTTGTAATGTTCAATGGGCTTGTGTCTGTAGTGGTGGAAGGAGTATATAAGTAGTAGTACCACACTTTAAAAACTGTTCATTACAAGTAAAAACATTCATAATTCTACTTAAGTATAACTACTGATTTTGTGTGCTGAGAAGTTTTGAAAGTAAAATCTTACAATAGCAACTTCAGGTGTAAAAAGAAAAAAGAGTGTAAAATGTGTAAATATTTACACATATTTCACTGGGAAATGAAAATACTCAAGTAAAATACATGTACCTCAATATTTACTGAACTGCATTACTTGAGTAAATGTCCAGTTACTTGTGTGTCATACATGTGTGGGCTTAAATGTATGGCAGAGATGAATATCTCTAAAGAGGTGCACCACAGTTCACAGTTCAGACATTCTGCTGTGACAGTGATTAATTGTCTGTTTTCACACACCACTGACCCCCAAATAACCACCGTCTGTTAATCTCAAATGCAGATGGTAAAATAAGGATTCCTTTCATCTTCTCTCCTTCGTCACCAAGGTTCCCTTTACCTTCCTCCCACATCTGCATTTCAGCCTGATGACAGATTTGTTGATGACTAATCAGTGATCCACATCATGTGTGCCCACAGCGCTCATGCTGCAAAGAAAACCCATCGTTTTTCATATGTTTAAGCCGTGGAATGCAGTGGAGTAGAAGTATAAAGTTGCACAAAAGGGAATTACCTCAACTTCTACTTATGTACAGTACTTGAGTAAATACACTAAGTGACATTCAACCACTGGCTTTAACTGCTGTTTATGACATTTCAAATTACATTGTACAAAAATGTACCAAAATGTATTTTTATATGATGATGAGATCCAAAATATACTTTTCACTGGCAATATATAATCTTCTTATGTATTGCTGCCAACATTTTGATGTATATTTGTAATTATATTCAGTACGTTTTAATCCATCTACGCCTACAAAATCTACTGCAACATATATAAAAAGAAATGCAGAAATTTTCTTTTATTGAACAAGAAACAGCTTCCTCAAACTAGTGCTGACATGCTTTTGGCAGTAAAACACATAAAACATTAAATGCCACAACTACACATTCAGTAATGTCGATTGCAGGTCTGCTGCGGTGCTTGTTCAGATTTCCTTTTTTATAACACACAATTATCAGGCATATGACTTTTTTCCACCAGGTTTATTTTTATTTTTACATCCCTATTTTGATTTATTATAGGAAAAGAAGAAAGGCCCAGCTCTTGGAAGAACTACGAAAGAAGCAGAGTTGTTTCAGTTCAATGGGAAGGCAGGACAAAAGTCTCTCAAGGCCTCACCCACAGAGCTCCTGAAAGGCTCTTTGAAGAGAGAAGTGTCTTCACTGATGAGCTTAAAGAGTCTGAAAAACGCATCTAAAAGTGCCTCATCTAAAGGCAAAGAGAATATCACCAAGCAGTCCAATAAAGTCACAACTTATGGACAGGCGCGAAAGGAACCCTCCCATTTTAAATCACCAAAACTATCAGAGTCAAGCTCAAAAACTCTACAATCTGTCAGGAAGACACTGACTGAAGCGCAGCAGAGACCGACGAAACTGAAGGCAAATGACAGGAGAAATAGAAATGTGAAAGAAAGCAATGTAAACAAAGAGGATATGGAAGCCGTGACTTTAAAGAAAAACTTGAAAGGAACACCAAAAAAGGAGGAAAATAAATCAGCTTTTGACAAGACATCTCATGTTATTATGATCACTACAGGAAATGAAACAACCAGCCCGTCTGTCCGAAGTGAAAGTTGGTCACCTGTAGAAAAAGATGCAGAAATCAAGAGTGAAACCACTGAAGAAACCACACCTGCTCAGGTTGATACTAAGAAAACTCAAAGTGTGACATCTACACCTGTGAAGATGAAATATACAGGGAATACTCAATTTAAAAGTAAAAGCAAAGGAAAAGTTGTAGAAAACACAGCTCAAAAAACGAGAGGTAGAACTGCAGATAAGCAGAAGGTACCTGAAGGTGACAGCGCTGAAGTAAATGACAAAATCAAGTCAATAGAGTCTAAACTGAAGGCAAAAACAAATCCAGGTAGAGAAGGAGGGGATGAAATCAGAGAAGCAGACTCTGAAGTTAATACGAGGGCCAAACCAATGAGTAAGGAGACTGAAGCTTCCAGCTCGCTGATATCACAGCAGGATACACAGGTTGAACTGCTGTGTAACCCCATTTCCCCACAAAGCACTCAGGGAACAGAGGTGGTTTCCGTCAGCGGAGCAAAACCCCTTCGAGACCCAGAACCTGTTGATAGGGATCTGCTTGTTTCTGGAACACACAGAGAGGATACTCAGAGCCTGACTGAAGAAAAGCCAAGGTGGGGGGAGATCCTCAGTACCGCAGCTTGTCTTCTTCCTGCTGCAGGGATAGCAGGTGCAGCTATGGGGGTGCTTAGTGAGGCAATGACAAGCGTGGGGGGTTTCCAGTCCGACAGTGACACGGTCACCTCTACAACCCCGAAAACACTGTGTCAAGTGAAACATTTCACAAAGCAGAGTGCAGTTATGCAACCTTCTTTTTCCTCGACATTATCACATTTTTCTTCCACAGAAGTGTCAAATTCACCAGAAAGAAGCAATGTAGTTCAAGAAGAGGAAAGTCATGATACCACTCGGTCACAACAGGAGGTGATGAAAAGTGACGGGGGTGAAGACTTTTCACAAACAGATCGTGACACAGATGTAGGAACTTTCCGGCAAGAACATGAAGAAGATGAGAAAACCCACAAGGATCATGAAGGAGAAGAAACAGATAATGAAGATGAGGAAAAGAAGGAAGATGAAGAAAGTGGAAGCGATGTGGAAGACAAGGACGAAGACGAGGAGGGAAGTGAAAGTAGCAATGACTTAGGGGAGGAAAAGGAGAGTGTTACGGGAGGGACTCAGGAAGACCAAGATCATGAAACTGCAGCAGAAGATGGTGAGGAGGAAAAAGGCTCCAGCAGTGACGAGGAGGATGAAGGAATTAAGAAGGGTGATGTCACTGAGACTGAAGAGGAGGAAGAAGAAAGCAGTGAGGCAGCAGAGGAGGATGGAAGTGAAGAATCGAGTGAAGAAGAGAATAAAGAAGAAGAGGAAGAGAGTGAGGTGAGTGAGGATGAGGACGATGTCAGTGGTGAAGACTCGGGGAGCAGCAAGAGCAAAGAGTCAGAAGAGGAGGACAGAGACTTAAGTGACGCTGCAGAGTCTGATTCTGAAGAGGAAGAAAACATTGAGGTAGAGGAAGATGAGGTTGATGCAGAGGATGAGAAGGTTTCAGAGAAGGAAGAAGAAGTTGAGGAGGAGGAAGAAGAGAGTAAGGAGGAGGTTACAGAGGAGGAAAAAGAGGGTGAGGAGGAGGAGGAAGAGGAGGAAGAAGAGGGTGAGGAGGACGAAGAGAGTAAGGAGGAGGTTACAGACGAGGAGGAAGAAGAAGAGGGTGAGGAGGAAGAAGAGAGTAAGGAGGA